ACTTTTTGTTTGATTGGTCTAAGAATGGAATGCGAGAGGGGGGGGGTTGCAAAACATGATTTTGTGCTAAGTAATAAGTAATGGCTTGGTTTGTGGTGCAGTTTTCATCGGGTGTGGTCGTGGATGATAAATCCTCTATTTTAGAAAAACAGTCAAAGCACTGTGTTGAGCAACTTCTCTTGATTAAACAGCCATCCAATGAGTTTTACGAGTTGGCTATGAAGTATGGAGCAAGGGTTAAGAAAGAGAAAAAAAAGAAAGATAAGTATAATTCCAAGCGGGAATATGAAGAGGATAACGATCAGCTCCAAAAAGATAGTTTAAACGAAAGACAGGCAAAGAAAAAAAGAAATGCCTATTTGGACGACGTGAAAGCTGAAACGTCCAGCGCAGTTTCATCAAACAGTGATTACAAGGCAAGTCAGAATAGTTCCTGATTCTCCTCTATTAGGAGTAAAAGTAATTCATAGCTACCAGTGTTTGTTTCAGTTAAAATAATAATATTTTATGAAGATGGCTTTGCAAGTTTTTCAGGCCCAGGCTGCGACATCTTCAGCACCAGTTACAGCATCGAGAAGTTATACTGCTCGAAAATCTCAAAAGCTGTCCAAAGAAGTACAAGCACATCATAATTTTACACATTTTTTTTGTAATGCTTCTCTAATTTAATTTTGTCTTCATCCTTTAACATTTTAGTCCGAATTTTTTTTAGGACAATGACAAGACTGATAAAAATAGAAATTCTTATAATGGCAGCAGACGAAATAGCCCATCAAGTGATTTGTCGAAGAGCTCGATCAATGGCAGAAGTAGTCCAGCTATTGAACGATTGAAGAATTCAGCTGTATCAAGATCAAGTCCAGCGAAAGACCGTCCGAAAAGCGCGTTGAATAATCACCCTTCTCCATCAGTCGAGAGGTCAAGAACTACGAATAAAACTACTCCGCCCGTGGAGAGGCCAAGGAGTGCTCCTAAGGAAAAGTTAACCTCGCCGAATGAACGTCCCAAAGGTGCTGTTACTGAAAAGCTTAGTCCTCCTAGTGATTCATCGAGGAACTCTGGTGATGACCAATCACCTCCACCCAAAAAAAGAAAGGTTTGTTTTTCATGGCTCTAATTAATTGTGCTCCTAAGGTTTATTCCTTTTTCTGTACGGTAGTCTGTCTTGCTACTTTGAACTTTATAGCACGAACTATCCGTTGATACCCTTTTATCTGTACAAAAGAGTTTAATGGACATTGGGGATCCGGAAAGGATGTTTGCCGTTGTGGATGCTATATTCTCATCGTCAGAGTGGCCTGTTGCCAGTCTTGAGTACTCGGAGGACACAAAAATACTCAGTTTTGATTTATTTTCCTTAGATCCAGCTTTGATCTTGAAGCTTGAAGAACTTTGCCGTAGATAACAGTCAGATAAGGGTCATCACTTGTCTTTTCAAATCTCCGTTGTACCTCATACTTAAACTATCGTCTCCCGACCTCGTTAGTGAAATTTGAATATTCATACATGTGTCCATCATTTCTATGTTTTTCTTTTAAAAGAACCTTTATTGACACTTAATTTTTTTTTCGTCCGTACAACTAATTGGTGCTTCAGAGTCGTCTCACACGGCTAACATTTTTCAAGTAATGTAGTGATGTTGTGTTATATGTTTACTGTTCTCTAGTTTTAATTGAGTAATGTGTAGTTAGTTTATGTTTGAATTTTCTTCGTTTAACTTTTTTGAATCGAAGTAATAGATCTGTACCAAATATCAGTAACTCGACTCTCAGGTTTGTAAACATATATCAGATAAATGTTCCGAAGTTTATTAATATATTGAGGAGGAACAGGAGTGGAATACTGACGAACAAACGGTTCGAAGTCAGTTCGTTGATTTAATTAGACCTACAGCTTCATGAGCAATCAAGCTGAATGGTGGAAACCTTAATACAACTGCGTCACAAAAAACCTTTTCGGATTCGGCAAGCGAGACGTTTTGAAGGTCGTAAATATTCATTTTTTTATGACACGCTTAAATTTATGAGGTCCTAATAGACAAGGTCCGCTGACGGGATCAGTGTATTCGGTTAAGGGTCCAAAAATTTCAACATCTAAGTGGGCCTGTGAAGATTTGGACTCAAGTTCACTCTTCAAGTTTTTCGACCGGCTGTAGTAGAAGTCGCTTGACTCAACCACACCGTAATATTTATTTTTTTCGTAAGCAAAAGCTCGCATCCAATAGATTCCCCATTGAGGCGTCAAGGACTCCACCAGCAACCGTAATTCAGCCTGAAATTTTACTGATATCACTGAGAACCCGCAATTTATTTTAAGAACATTTATTTATTTACAGCAGATTTGGGATTTTAATTCGAGGTCAAGATTTATTTACTTGTGCGCACATATATATTCCCGGTTGCTTAATGCGCATCGATATTTTACTTGGGAGAGCTTTAATGCAATTTGTTCATATTAGTTCATGAAATGCTTGAGTTATTCTTCTGACTACTCAAAAAATCAAGGCAGATGACAACGTATCAAAAGCTACGGTGTGCCAAATTATTTTGCAGAGCATTTTTTAATATTAACAACAGCAGTAGGGTAACAATCAAAGCAGTGATTTTGCGCCTTATGTAAAGAATAATAGACTGGGATCTGTTTCAAAACGTAATTTTGTACCTTTTTTGGAGAGTCATCACATCTCCACATTGCCATTTCAGAGAGTCTCGCTTGAATTCTCTTTCTCAAAGCTGTTGCGAGTTTTCCAATATTTCTTTTTCTAGTACGGGGTAACTGTTCATCTTCCAATTGTTCTGCTGAGAATCTTTCAAGCGAAGCAGTTGACGGCCTGTTTGCAATCGATGGAGGAGTCTTAATGGGGGATATTAAAGAATTCAAAGCTGGTGATATTTCATTTTGTTTTTCTGCACAGTATTTTATTGAGGACTGCAGTCTAACAGAACTTTTGGAAGCAGAGTCTGATGGTGAACTGCAATTAATTATTTCCACCGTCTCCCGTAAATGACGGAGGTGTTCAGATAAAGTCTTCTCAGAAGGCGAATATTCAGCAGATATCTGTATATTTTCACACATTTTCCCATCATTTACAGCATACAGTGCTTTTGCTGGCTGGTCAGGACAACTGTAACCTCTTTCACTACCTGCCGAGTCTTCTTGAGAAAGAGGAAACAATTGGAGAGTCGAAATCAAAGACACATGCGAAGTATGAGAATCGTTGCTGAGAATATCTCTGCAACTACCATGCTCAAACTTTCTAGAATCCTCAGATTTTGCAGGACCTTTTACAGAGAAAGCTACTTTATAAGAGTGTTCTTTTACAGAGAGGGCAGTCGTTTCGTTGGCCTCACAGCGGACATCGGGTCTGTGCGAAAAAGCAGAATAATTCCTCACTGGGGTTTTATACGCGTTCTCATAAGCCTCCCTTAAAATTTTTTCTGGAACAATATTAGTATCATGCTCTGAAGAACTTGTACTGAATAAGTCTGGTGACGTCTGATTTACTCCATCAGCAGCAGATGATTTTTTGGGAGTCGAGTATAAATGCATCTGCGTACGTTGAATTAATTCATTTTTCAAAACCGGCGATGACAAACCAAGCTCCAATGTCGGCTTCGCCTTGCCGCACTTTTTCTGTAAGAATGGTTTATCAGGTATAAATTTTTTTGGTTATTGGAAAAGGAGTTTTAATCCAACGTATCAACAATGAGTAAACTGTAGTTTTTTAATTTTGTTAATGCTACCTTCGTATGATAAAGATTCCAATAAAACTGGAATCTCCTACTCTTAGAAATACAGGTTCGAAAAATGATAAACGAACCTGCTTTTTTGGCGGTTCCAAATCTTTATCATTATGTACCAAAGACTCCTCTATCTCGTTTTCGAAAAATTTGGACGTCGACGGAAGGTCCACTGCACTGATCACCTGAACCAAATTCAAAGCAGATATAATTAACAAGGTAATTTGTATGAACGAAACTTGCTAGTTCTTGATAATTTAGTTGACGGGAGCGTTTCATTTGTAGAACCTTCCTGAAGTTACCAGTTAGGTGAAAATGAAGAGAGTAATTAAATTTTGAGAACAGATCACTATTGAGAAGGAAAATTTAAATTATCTGTTAATAATAACGAACAGAGGCCTTTTAAAGACAGAAGAACATGAATTGTAAGAGGTATTAAAAGCTTAAGGCCTACTGATTTGCGACGAATTGTGGGCTTTTTTTCGGTGACTTCCATGGTTGGGAAAGGAGCTGATGAGCGTAAGATACTTGAGCGCTTTGGAAATAGTTGTCGTTTGCCAAAATCTTTTTCTGTTGGCCATTTCATATTTGCTTCCCTGAACCAGATTCCGCTGCATCGTAAAAATAGAATCGATACGGAATTAAAAAAAGGGTCGAAAAAATTACCAGTAGATATCAAGCGATAACTTCAGTTCTGTCCTCGGTTTTAAAGCGCAGTGTTCATGAACAGTGATTCCGGTTCTCTAGAAGCGAGTCATGAGTAGTTCAAAAAACTATGCACAATACAATCATCATTTGCATGGTTATTCTTGTATCCAGAAAAGATGGTTTACATGTACCAAATTACTCTGGCTTGTCATGTAAACACTAATATGAGTTAAGGTAGTAGCAGCCTATAATTCTGCCATCATATCTGGAAGAGAAAAATTATTACATGGCTGATTTAGCGGAACTCAGGAAGTTAAAAAAGCTAAAATAAGGACAAACGCTATACAGCAGTTTCACAGGCCCCAACCAGTAGACGACAGGAGATTTTAGGGACAGTTCAAACGGTTGATTTTGGCGCCCTTTTTTTATCATCGCTTGTTAAGGTAACGACGTCGGAAACATCGGCAACCAGCAGCGCGGCTGCCAAGTGAAAGTTCTGATGCTTTTTTGTATTCATTCATATAATTGCGTGTAGTTTGTATCAGTATATTTAGTATCTACTTGTTGTGTTCTGTGATAGAAATTTTCGCTAGAAATTGCTGATTGAAAGGAAATTCAGTAGCAGGAGTTATGAAGGCATGAAGTGGCCAATCAGTTGTGTCCTGTGTGTGTTGTGGACTATCTAGTTATCACTGGTAACAAATAACTTTTAGACGGTTAGTATCTTGTTACAGTTACCAGATCAGAAAACCTACTTACTTCTTTTTACTGTATTTTTCTAGTCTAGTCGTTGGCGTTTTTTTTTTTTGTGTACACCAACGCTAATGGAATCACTAACTTTAGTTTGTTCTCCAATTTGGTGATACTCTTAAAACGACTCCGCCTCAATTTCACGTTGTGAAAAAAATGTTTACAATTTTGTTAGCAGTAGAAAATTCTGTTTTTTTTTTTGTTAGCAGAGGTGTTAACTTTAATTTATGGGACAAAAGGTTATTTTGAATTTTTGAAACTGATTGATCCAACGTGCTATAAAGAAATGTATAAGGTCATCTGCTCAAAGCGACCAACCGGTTTCTAAATAAACTTTTAAAAGCGATTGGTATAACAAGTTAATAAAGTACATTTAAAAGATATCAAGGTGTAGAATTCTGAAGTGAAAAACTTGTCGACTTGTGATTGACAATTTGATATTTACGCGTTAGTAAACTGTAAAACAGAGAATATTTTTGTCTTCTTATTTCAAGCAAATTATTTTACAGTCGTTAAACTAATTGAGAAATTTACGCGTTAAGCTTTATCGGTGATGATTATCAAATCTTTGTATTTAAATATAACTTCATTTTTTTTTTACTGAAAATGCTTCAGCTGTTAGTTGAAGACGACGCACTGAGCAATATATTTTACATAATTTATTGCCAAACTCAGAGTTAGCTGGAAATGTTGCTTTAGGTTACTGAAGTACCCTAAAGCTGCGATTGGATTTTGGTTACCTGATCTGCAGTAAAATGAAAACCTTTTTAAAGCGACTGAAAAGGTTTCTTTTTTAATACGCTGTCTGTCAGATATGTTTTCAGAAAAGTAATCCTATTCATAAATGGGCTATTATTGATTAAAACTTAAGAAATTCTTTCCTGCTTTACATTTCCGACCAGGATAAAGTTTCCAAATGCAATAAGATACTCTAGAACAAATTTTAAACAGATTGTTAACTGAGATGTTGTTTCATCACTTGGAAATGAGGTTGTTGAGAATGGATTGGAGCTTTTTTAAATGTACAGTTAATAAGATTAATAATGCGAAATTTGTGAAATTTAAAAATTTGATGACAAATTTACCTGGACTTATCGTAAGCGAAAGCTAAATTGTCATTGAAGCTTTTTAAAAAAGTTAACAATGATTAGTTTTGTCTCTTAAAATCAAACTAGTATTTTAAAATTTATGAAACAGTTACCTGCTAAGGAGGGTCAGTAAAAAAAGGATTACGAAAAAAAGAAGCAGAAAGGTTGTTTTTAGCAGTTTTTGTTGTGGTGCTTATTTGTTTGATCTTGCTTACTGTATTGATAACTCGAATCCTTCTGCTTATCAACTGCATACTGAGAGTTCTTGTTGCCGTTAAAACAACTGAAGCGAGACGGTAAAAAATATGAATGTAAACATTTCTAAGAAATTTGAGTTTACGCTTTATATATTGAATTCATTTTTGGGACTTTGGCAACAGTTATCTTCTGTTTAGAGCGCACCATTACGTGACAAAGGACGGATATGTATACAGATGCTTGCATGATAAATATTTCACTGAACAACTTATTACTACAATTTTAAGATCTTGGTCTTAGTTGCAGGTAAATTTTTTTTAATTTTCTGTGATTATGTGGAAATTCAGAGCTGTACGAGACGTTTATTCTGATAGTCGTTTCGTCATTTTACTTGCTATTTTAAGGAACACTATTGGTTTCGGATTATTGATTAAGGGGTCTTAATATCTCCTGTAAATATAGTGTTGAAAATGAATGTGTAACTTAGAATAAAGAAAAACATTTTTGCTCAAATTTTCGTGTTTCTTAGTAACCTCTGGATAGCTGTAACAGTTTTATTTCGTGTCATACTTTAAAATGTAAGGATGAATCGAGGATGACGTTCTGCAAAATGGGATATTTTTTTGTGGAAGTTTGTAAACGCGATAATATTGAGAAGTCATATAAAATTTTATAGGGAAGAAGATTATCTAAATTTTGTAGGACTTCTAGAAGTACTCATAATTGGCTCAGTAAATTTTGTTATTTAAGTCATATGATACTGAGGGCAACATTAGTGTTCTAGATAAGAAACAATCTGTGTTTCGTTTTTCGGATGATTTGAAGAATTTTCAATTTTTTCTCGCAGCCGTCTGAACTCTTTTAATGGTACTGATTGTGGAATGCTATAGATAACAGATTTCTGTTGTCTGAGTGGTTTAATTTTTTGTTAATTTAAACATTTGTGCATTACTTTTAGCTGAGATGTTTACTAACCAAGGACGACATTTAGGGTCCTGAAAGTAACATTCGCAATTGTTTGTCAGGTGGGCATCACTCGGCTTATTTCGGATATAGTCACTTTTGAAAATGCATAAATTGTATTTTTTACTAAGCGATGATGAATAATTGAATTTATTGGTTTTCTATCATCCGAAAACGGCCGACTATTTGATCGTTCATAGTGTTTTTAATTGATAGATTATCGTTAACTGACTGCAATATTAGATAGCCATTTATCGCTTTGAAACTTTTTTTCACTAAATTATTTTAACGCAAAAAGTTCTCGGCTAGGAAGAAAAACTACTTTAGGGAGAAGGAACTAACTGAATTACACATAATTTATTGCTTGAAGATAAAATATTCTGATCACTTTCAATGAGAAACTTATCCTTGGCATTGTGCAGAATTTTTTTAATATTGTGCTGAAAGTTATCAAGATGTGTTTTGGTTTCTGGGTGCTTCCTTAATTATATTAAAGTGTATAAGTGGAGGAAAAATTTTTTTACACTTAGTATACACAGGAAGCTAAGCTAGGTTTCAGTATAATTACTTGGAAAATGTGCTTGTTAAAGTAAACTTTTCGGGAAGCAGTGAATTTCTTGCATAATCACAATAGTGTTGAGATGGTTTTTTTTATTGGAGGTTTTAAGGGTTTTGGTCTATGGTCTAAGTGTTTTTGTGTGGATCTGTAAATATCTACACGGCTAACAGCATCGCAAAGGTCAGAAATTGAGTGATTTACAAATGCAAAAGTGGTAAAAACAGATACTTCAAATTTCATGTGTAACAGTTGTGATTCTAGTGAATAGAACTCGTAATATTTTTATTGTCACTATATCCTAACAGAATGCAGTTTCTCGTGAATTTTAAGCAAATTTTGTTGCACTGATATTTGTTGGCCTGTTTCTGCACGGAAATTGTACAGGATGGTTTTAGCAGAAATTTTTAACACGAAATTGCAATTACTTCATATTACAGCAATTAGTTTTTAAACAGTCAAAAATTATAGGTAAATTGGATGATTTATGAAAATTTTGAGTAACATCAAATTATTGCTGCATTTAGTCAAAAAAAAGCTGTTTTTTACAGCAGCATCGTAAATTGGGTACTGTATTGAAAAAAGATAGTAAAGTTTTTTTTGCTATAAGTTTCTGAGCTATTGCTATTTGTTTGAATTTTTTGATTTTATTTCTTCTCAAAAAATAAAAAAAATTTTTTTTTTTTCGTCATGTTTAAACTAGTTAATTTTGGCCAAAATAGGTGAGCTAAATAAAGTTTACAATGCACAAGCTGGTAAACTTACAAGCAGAACAAACTCTTGACTTAAAGTAAAGTTTACATTTTGAAAATGAAAAATATTTTAGCAACAATTTGCAATCAGCTGGCCAGTAGATGTAACGGCAATTCAGCAGTGAATGTGGTAAGAGTTAGGGTAAGAAGATTTGCCGAGGTGGGGTTTTTATTCTGTTATCTTATTCTGTAGTCTATTTAAAATATTCAAATTTTTGTCGAAAATTGAGAATGTTTCATAAAATATTGAAAATCCTGGAACTGTAGCTTATAATTATTTAAGTAAACAAGTTTTTTTGTTACTTGCAGGATCAACCTTAATTGGAATGGCAATTGTGTTAACGCTTTAACGACAAAATGAGTCATCAAAAAAGTTTGTTTCAAAACTTCAGTTTCTTCTTTTTTAACTAAATTTATGTTTACCTTAGTGTATATTTGTTTGGTTAAATCTTTGGATTCTGTAATTTTATCCAATGTTTTGCCTTTCTGCAAACTTATTATAAGTTATGCGTCTGTTATGCATTAAAAGTTAGCTTGATTATTTTCTCGCTGTGATGCTTTTTCATCTTATGCTATAATTGCAATTTTTACGAGAAAAATCGAGTCTTTGTAAGTTTTTGAAAAACTTGAG